GGCTTCGCATCCACGGATTCGCGAGTATCGTCCACCTTCTGGGTAGTCTCATGATCGGGTGTAGTTTCAACCTTGGGTGTCTCTGCACGGTTGGGTTCGCTGTCTTCAGAGTGGGACAATGGCTGGTCCCTGGATTCCTTAGATTTGTTGATGTCCAGATTACTTGGTAGATCCGGGATCCCAGAAACACTTGGGGTCTTATAGTGACTACCGGGTGCAGCTGAACGCATGAGCCCGACCGTAGTGACTTCCTTGAAGCTGTTCACGCGGCCCAGATCCACGCTTGCCCTTGACTGCCGATCTTTCGCCCATGATGTATGCTGTGAGTGCTGCCTCTTGTGCTTTGGTGAGTCAGGTCGATTAAGAGCGCTCTCCAGCCATGTCGACTTTGTGGGACTCCAGCGCCTGGGATCCATGGTCCTCGAGACAACGGGGCTCGCGGACGGCAACGAATTCGAGTCGGAGTCGTGCCCATTTCCGCTCAATGCGCTGAGAGCTCTGATGTGAAGCGTAGGTCTGGCGGTAGCTTCGTCTGTCTCCACCTTGTTCACCATCGGCGGCGTTGCCGGCCTTTCGCTCTCCTTCGCATTGTGGACAATCGTTGCCTCGCTGTGGCTGGAACTTGGTCTCTTCGACGCAATGAACGTGTCCTCGCGGCCAAGCCTCGACGGAGATGCAGGAGCATGCGCGTCGCCATACGCTGGGCCAGCAATGCTATTGCGGTTGCTGGCAAACGAATTGCCTCGGCTGACCCCTGACGGTAACTGTGCACTCCATCTCTTCGAGACACTATCCGATCGCTTCATCATGGCGCTCTGCACAAAGCCTCCAAGACCTTTTGTCGGCGACGTTGAACGTGAACGCTCGGGGGAAAGGCGCCTCGGGGAGGGAGGTGTCGCGACCTGTTCTGGCTCGAGTTTTTGGACGCTTGAAAGGGGTACGGGAGATCCGAGTCCAGTTGCCGTCGAGACAGAAGATATGCTCGAGTATCGATGTCCCAAACTACTATCCCCGAAAGTCGAGCTTGCCCTGGATGGGGAACGCGATCTTTCTTCTCCGACTTCTGGTTGTGGGCTCTGCTTCTCATCCCCAGGGGGAACTTCTGGATTTGTTTCAGTGCCTTCGTCGTTTGTGTGGATTGAGCCCTGGCCAGTCTTTTCGGCGTCCGGCTTTTCCTTGGCAATCCCTCTAGTGATTGAGTCGGGAGTTTCCTCCGGTCTTGTTGTCTGACCGGCGGTAACATCCTTGGAGGAAGGCGAAAGCGTCAGCGGACCGCGAGTATTTTTGTGATCATCGTTCGAGAAATTAGACAAGCCACTCAGGCGATTGAGACGGGTCGGGGAGCGCGTAGGAGAGGGAGGGAAAAACGGTCTGTTGCCGCTCATATCCCGAGACGACGGTCGTTGTTGCCAGGACAGGGTCCCTGCTCTACTGCGCGCAAGAGGTGAAGTAGTAGTTGCTCTCGGTGAGGATTCCATCTCCCTCCCGTCTAGTTTTGACCCTTCCAGATCACCATTCGTACCAATTGACGTGTCGTCTCGAAAGGGGTCGGATCTGGCGCCTGTGGCATGTTCGGGTGTCCGAGGTGTGGGCGAGAGTTGTTCTGGAGGGTCGATCCCACGCTGGCTGAGGGAAGAAATGCTCAACCGAGCGGAATCCAATATTGGGGAGTCCTTTGTTGGCGAAATCGACCGCGCTCGTTCTACACAGGGTCGGAAAAGAAGACGAACAAGATCAGCCTTTGATTATTTTAATTATGCGAGAGCTCGGGCAGCCCACGAAACGAGACAGCAAAAGCAATAGATGATTGGAATGGCTGAGAAGACTAGGGACGCCAAATACCAGCTCTTCGAGCCTGCCTCTCCTTGCGACTCTGCATGATTTCCTCCTCCAACTTCTTGGTCCGTTCCTCGTCCTCCTTATCGCGTTTCTCGCCTAGCTCCCGAATCCGCTGGAGGAAGTCATTGACATCCTCTGAACTGTCCGCATCGGTAGTAACTGTCATGGCACCCTAGGTATGAGAATGCACAAGTAAAAGGAAAGGGAAAGGTGACAAATGAGATTATCAGAATGAAAAAGCAATAATAACGAGTACAATCAGCCGGGATCACCCAGTAGACTGAACCGGGTTGGTGTGGGGTACTGACAAGAAAAAGCGCAAACGTAATGATCGCAATGGACGATGGAGGGGAAGGGGATAAAATCAATGTTTATCGAACTGCCTAGGCAGATAGATAGCAGATAGATAGTGTACGAGTAAGGGAGTGGTACTTCCCAGTGTCTCACACGGCGCGTCTCAAGTTATCCCAGGTTGTGGGACGTCACGCTTTTTTAAGTCACTTTACTAGTGTCATATTTGGATCGATATTAATATTATTTTCAGCTGGCCTCACTCGCTCAGCAGGACGCACAAAAACTGTGAGCACACTGCCCCACCGCGTCCTTGCTGAAAATGCGCCCGACACGCTCGTCTCTGTCGTCTACCTGACTATCCATCCACACCAACGCCCAATCCATGTCTCCCTTTTTGGAAGATTGGCAAGATATTGGAGTCATACAGCAGTGTTGTAAATAGTAGACTAGTACTCCATACTCATCATTCAGAACTCTAAAGAGGTATCTGATCCCCTGTGTAGCAGCAAAATGGCCACTGAAGGGACACAAATGGCTTATTCTTCTTGTTTGCAAGCAGCTTGTTTTGATGTTTACTGTGATGTTTACTGTTTACCAAGAGTGGCCATGTGGTGGGCCTTTTCTGCCGCCCCGCGACCCAGAAAATTGTTGCGAAACCAGCTCTTGATGTCTCGAATATTTGGAGAGTAGACGCTAGATAGTTGTCAGTTTAGACTTAGCAGTCTAGTCTTCAAGAAACAGAACGAATGTCGTCATAGTCAAGTATCGTCAACTTATGGAGGTTTTGGACGGTCGGCTCAACGTTTGAGGCCATACGCATCATATGGAATGTTGACTCAAATAGTGTCATCCCTTGTGAAGCCACAAAGTGTTTAACTTGACTTTACTGACAACTCTGTGCGACGGTTAGCTTGATGATTGCTAGCATCTTTAAAACAACACAATCAACCATCGAGATTTGTGTTCTTGGACTATTATCGCTTATCGGGCCCTCCTTCAGGCCTTACTTGCAGCCTGATTGTGGAGAGGGAACAGCCTGAGAAGGCGATCGCACTTATTTGAGGAGGTTTATTTACCCTTTTCTTTGCTTGTAGATAGGTGATAATCGGTTGAGATCAAATAATACGGGACGTGAGAGAGAAAATAACAGAATGAGGACATGGATTTCTTCAAACATTAAGAAACGACTAAATGGTTGGTTGCGGAGACTATGTTTGCTGGATCGAAAAACGACAGACTCATTTCATCTTAGCGTTAGTGATATCAATGAATTCTCGAGTGTTGATCTGACTCAAGAAGCATCAACGTAAATCCGTATTGGAGTTGAAAAATCCCAGACGCTCAAGCGTACTCGGCAGAAGCGGGTAGAGACAGGGTCAGTAGAGGAAAAGTCTGTCTTTTGCATCCTGCACTACCCATTGTAAGCCTTCATGGAGATTCTTGCCTGTCATGGCACTGCAGGGCAATATAGTCCATTTATGGGTCTTTATTGAATCCAGGCGAAGCCGCTGGAGAGTTGTTAGTAGATGTCCGTAGAGCCCAACAAGTATATCAAGATGCGCCAACAACTTACTTCACGGACTTCATCTTCCGTCATACATCCCTCTACATCTGTCTTGTTCAAGAATATCAGGAGACTTGCTCCCATCAGGCGCTGGAGGATGTTAGCCAAACCGATGCGCGTCAACGAAAATTTCGCAGCTGAGCGGGGACATTGGCAACCGTACCTCTTCGAGGAGTAGGCCCGCGAGTTCATCCCGGCAATCATCAACTCGAAGACGGTCTGTTGCATCTACCACCCAGACAAGTGTGTCGGTCTTCTCAAAGTAGTTTTTCCAATATGACCGAAGGGTTTTCTGTCCCCCGACGTCCCCTGGCGGCAAAAAGTCAATCGAAGTTCCTTGCGGAGTTCTGACTGCTGGCTTCTCTCACATATGTTCAATCGATATCTGTGTCCGGAGTCAGTTATCAAGATGATTGAGATCATTAGAGTTGAAATTACCCTTCAAAATCTATTGTTTTGATAATGAAGCCCAGTGTAGGGCTGACAGTTGTGACATCTTCGTTCATGATCTGCTTCACAATCGTTGTCTTCCCAGCATTATCAAGACCACTAGCATCAATCGTGAGCATCCAGATGGGTCGTTTCTTGGTTGCTGAAAGACTTACAGCATCAGAATTCTCATCTCTTTGTCCTTTAAGCGAGCTTTTCTCAATATTGACAGCATTTTGGTCAAATGTGTCCTCTCAAATCTGTTGCATCGGCTTAGTTGTAGTTAGATAAAACCCCTACATTCAGGCGAAAAATAGAGATTCAGTCATAATGTAGAGCTAGTCCACCAGAGCGATCCAACAATTCTCTATAGTGTTTAATTTAATGGGGACAATACTCATTAGTAGCTAACTCCTAAATTGATATTACCTTGCTCTCATTTTTGCTGTGCTTTTGTGAGTGTACAGATTCTTTCTAGGCTTTCTGCTACCCAGAGAAGCCCTATACTCCTCCTCATATCCTACCTCAAGACAGACCTAAGAAGTGACTATGATAACTTTTAGGACCAGCAAATATACCAGGACTCTCGGATAGTGCTATAAACCCATGTTATTAATCATAAGGCCACATCATAATCTGTTAGCGTCTTTAGACGACTGTTTCTTTCACTACAGTTTTCTCTCACTAGTAACTCAGCAGGAAACATCCGTTTTCCTTTCACTTCATATTCACCTCAGACCGTACTTACCCTAACTATCGCTTAAGACCTATTTTCCCCCCATGCACCCTGCAAGGTGACTCATGATGCTCACATCTCCTGGTCCGGAACATTCTCTTCTAGGTTATCTACACCATTCCTTGATGACTAGCCACCATGGACAGGCAAGCTCATCACGGTCAGCCGAATGCCCCAAGCAGGCGTAGGGCTAATAAGTCGAAGAATCATTCCCAGCAAGATCCTGCCTCCCCTGAGTCTGGGTTAAAAGCCACAGACAATCTCCCCTCAACATTCGCGAAAGCTCGAGCTTTCAGAAAGAGAAGACCGAAACTGACAGAGTCTTCTAAGACTCAGCCTGACAACCACCGTCCGGCTCCTAGTGATTCGAATCCAAATCCAACGGACGGGCAGATCACTATTCACTCTACAACACGCAACCTCGGAGCATCACAGAATGAGTCAGAGAGACTGAATAACGCCGAGTCCTCAAAATCCCCTGCTTGCTTAATTTTGAGAATTCAGGGACCTTCTATTCCAAGTTCTGAAGCCCTGCACCAAAGACAAAGTGGAAGAGAGAAAGATAAGGAGGCCTCAGGAAGTTACAGAACACGCGCGCCGTTTGACTGGCGACCTAAGAAATTCCATAGCAGAGCACCAGCTTCCACGCACCTCTCGCACCAGCCTCACACCCCACAGAAGAGATCAAAACTGAGTCAAGTCATCAACGCTGATACAGCTCAGATATCACTCCATTCACAAGGAAATACAAATATGGGTGAGTGACACTTGCTCCTTCTTGCTCAATTTGGCCAAAGACCGAGCTTCAGGAAGCTAACTAGCAGTCACATCAAGTAGGAGACCGTCCAAACAAGACTGACAGCAATGGATCCGACGAAGTCGTCATGAATCGAGGGGCCAATTTCAAAGGTCGCAATCAAAGACAGCTTCGGGGCGGAAGCGCGCATCTGAACAGCGATTCCCGGTATAGGGCTCGTCCAAGAACAATACAGCAGATACCGAGGCAGAATGCCAATGGGACACCAAACAGACCTGCTGCGGTGGAAAATCACACTCCCCCGGACGATGTTGGCTGCCAGATCAAAGGTCCGCCCGGCGTGCAAAAGGCTGCAAACAAGGCTCCATCTCAAGAGGCCCTAGACGAGTTAAAGCGCCTTCAAGAAGAGATTGTTTTGCAAGCCCACCTGAATCGCTACAAAGACCATGAAGACGACACAGCAAATCCAGAGAGCCTTGCAAAATGCAGGGACGGGCCGGGAACCGATTCAAAATCAGATGTCTACAAGATCATCGCAAGGTGTAGGCTTGCAGCCAATCCAAATGCAACTTCTTCCAACCCAAGCTCTATTCCAGAGGATAAGTTCGAAGGGGACGTGAATGATAGATACTTCGTCGATGAAATCAGGTCTCGCGTCCAGAAGTTTTACGCTGCGAAACTTGATGCTCAGCGTGAATCTTATCATAACAGCGTGTCCGTGTATCCGGCCATCGTTGACGGCCAGATCTTTCTTTCGCGCTACCCAAGTGTGGAGCATGAACGCCTTCAGAAAACTCCATCGAATGCTGAGCGCCAGACTGGCAATCAGGACGACAGTCATAAACCAGAGCACTGCTCCAAGGTTAAGTGGGAGGATAGGTGGGAGATGCGTCCTCGTGCTTGCTCTACCTATGAAGGCTTTCGTGATTGGTTCCGTCATTGGCTAGAGATGGAGACAGGCGATAGCTCCAACATTGACATCCACCACCAAGCCTTTTTTGACGGAACCGCGCATATGGATGGGATCAAATCTTTGTACGTTCTTGACTTGGGAGACGTCCCAACTCGTTTGGACATGACGAGTGAAGCAACACGTCTCCATCATCATGAAACGGCCGAAGGCTACTGCCACAACCTTGCATTGCATATGAAAGCGGCAGAAGAGGAGGCGAGGACACGCAGGAAACAAGCTCGAGATGCCTTCATAGAAGGTCTGAAGGTCTGTTCTCCAAAGGATCCGAATAGTCCTAGAGCAAACGTCTATCTTCGCGGTGTTGAAGACAGTGACATACCAGGACTGCTCATGATCTTGAATTGGTACGGCCAAAAGTCAAACTTGAGTTCAAGCTTAGGAACACTTGACGAACAAGATGTGCGTCAGCGAATTGAGGATAGCAGGCGTGCGAAATTGCCATTTATTGTGGCCGCAGAGCGCAGACGCGGACCATCCGTCCACGACACCCCGGAGAAAATCCTCGGATATGCTTTGGCTAGGGATTCCTTGGGGCTTCAGACCACAGGTCGATACACAGCGGAGCTAGAAATTTTTATCAAACCTGACCACAAACGCCGAGGCATCGGAAAATGTCTCTTGGACAAACTGATTGAAGTTTGTGACGCTACTTACGTTCCCAAAAGGGGGTTCTTCTACGATGCCGGTTGCGATGACAAGACTGGCCTTTACCCGGGCGGTTCACGAACTCTCAAACGCCTTGTGTTTACCATCAGCTATTCGGTTCCCGAGAGATCCCAGATCAAGTGGCTCATCGACTGGCTTGAAAGGGATTACCACTTTGAACAGCAAGGCGTGCTCAAGGGGGCTCGAGTCAAGTTCGAGCGATTGTAAGTGGACCCTAGTATTGATCACATGAATCCTAGACTTACCAAAACGCTCTTATAGCCTTGATGTCAGCTACCTTACTCGCAACGCTGGTTACGACGACGGTGATGCATTTCATGCTTGAAGGGGATAACCTTTCCGGAGGTTGTGTGGGCGTCTTCTCCTTGTTCTGCATATTGAGCTGTCCTTGCTTCTTCGTCATCTCATCTTAAGGACTTTCTTTATCTCCCTTTCTGTGTCTCGTCGGGCTTGGAATCTAGCAACTGAGGAGAACGGTGGTAGGTCAAGAAATGGAGATTTCCATATCCCGTAATGAACCTCTCGTTGCTTTTCCCGTCTCGCAGCTTCATTGCTCTCTTGATACACAGTGATCATAATCATTAGGGGTAAAAAAGCATCTCTTTGGAAGGATTGATCCGATATGCTTTGGATGTAGGTGGTAAGCTAGGTACTATGGAGCAGGCAGGTTTGATACGGACCTTAGTAAGCCAAGGTTGATAAAACAGGCTTTAGTAGCCAACCAATTAGACTTACAGAACAACTTTGCGGGTATTTTCTGCCGCGCTTGATTTTCACCGCCTTCGCAATTTGAACTTTTTCTTTTCTCTCCGCTCAAGAGAAAATAGATAGAACCAGAAGTCCTGGGAGGAATAACAGGGGTGGTCTGAGTTCCTCTACATCGTTATCACTTGGTTTTGTGGGAAGCCCTAAAGTCTAGTGCTCTCCCCTTTGCATTTCGACGGCCAAACGACGGCCGGTCTTCTAGGAAAATGGCTCCCAATGCCACGACAAAAAAGCGGGCTGCCGCCAAAGATGACGATTTCGTGCTCACACTATCGGACGACGAGAACGATGTCCTCGAGAACGGTGTTGAGGAAGACACTCTTTCCAGCTCGAAGAAACGCAAGCGAGATGCGGCGGAGGCACCGAAAGGCAAGAACAAGAAGCAGAAGCAATTGAAGAAAAGCAAGAAGGGCGAGAGCGCTGCTGGCGCAGTATCTGACGACCAATCCGGCGAAGAGGACGAGGCTGAGGCTATGGATGCTGGTGAGGACGATGGGGCGTTGGACTCGGAGTTCGAGTTCGACGTTGGCGGCAATGCTAATACCGGGGTGATCGAGGGATTCGATGGGTGGGAAGCGCGGAATGGAGCTGGCCCTGCGGATGCGCCCAAGAATGGGGATAAGAAAGCTGTGGATATTGATGATATCATTTCCAGGAGGAAAGCGAAGAAAGAGGCCGAGCTGAAAAAGAAGCAGCAAAAGGAGAAAAAGAGGAGGGAGGAGGAAGGAGAGGAGGAGAGTGAAGATGAAGATGCCGACTCAGATGGCGGTATGTCTGTGGACTTTCAGGACGACGAATTGCTTGCTGCAGACGGATTTGGTATGGGTGCCGATGGTGCGGATGAGAGCGGCGACGATGTGGAGAACGACTCCAATGACAGCGACGATGCGGATGAAAAGGGCAGCGAGGACGAGGAGAGTGATGATGATGCTGCTGCTTCCGATAACGACTCAGTTGCGACTCCAGTACACCATCCTGATGACGAAGCAGCGTCTGACGAGGAATCTGAAGCGGAGAGCGAGGTTGACGCTGAGGAAGCAGAGAAGCGCAAGGCTTTTTTTGCGCCTGAAGAAAAGTCCACAGCCGCCTCGACTTCTAATCGATCATTCCAGGACTTCAATCTGTCTCGACCCATCCTCCGTGGTCTGGCATCTGTCAATTTCACCACGCCGACTCCCATCCAGCAAAAGACGATTCCCGTGGCTCTCCTTGGCAAAGACATCGTGGGTAGTGCTGTTACTGGCTCAGGAAAGACTGCTGCGTTCGTTGTTCCCATTCTCGAGCGTCTGCTGTTCCGCCCTCGAAAAGTTCCCACCAGTCGTGTTGCTATCCTTATGCCCACTCGCGAATTGGCGGTTCAGTGTTACAATGTGGCTACAAAACTGGCTACTCATACTGATATTACCTTTTGTCAACTTGTCGGTGGTTTCAGTCTTCGCGAGCAGGAGAATATCTTGAAAAAGCGTCCCGACGTGATCATTGCTACTCCTGGTCGTTTTATTGACCACATGCGGAATTCCCCCAGCTTTACTGTCGACACACTGGAGATTTTGGTTCTCGATGAAGCTGATCGAATGTTGGAAGATGGTTTCGCTGACGAACTCAACGAAATCTTAACAACCATTCCCCAGTCGCGGCAAACAATGCTCTTTTCGGCTACAATGACAGACTCCGTGGACAAGCTCATTCGGGTTGGTCTCAACCGTCCAGTTCGCTTGATGGTCGACTCGAAGAAGAATACATCCATGAATCTGACCCAGGAGTTCGTCCGGTTACGGCCAGGTAGGGAGGACAAGCGCTTGGGATATCTCCTTTACCTGTGCAACGAAATCTACACTGGACGGGTTATCGTCTTCTTCCGGCAGAAGCGCGAGGCCCATCGGGTTCGCATTGTCTTTGGGCTATTGGGACTCAAAGCGGCAGAGCTTCATGGTAGCATGAGCCAAGAACAGGTATGTCAAGTATCAGCTAATATAATTACCTGAAACCGAACTAATCAGCACTACAGCGAATCAAAAGTGTTGAGAACTTCCGAGAAGGCAAAGTAGCCTTCCTGCTTGCTACTGATTTGGCGTCCCGTGGTCTGGACATCAAGGGTGTCGAAACGGTCATCAACTACGAAGCGCCTCAGAGCCACGAGATCTACCTGCATCGTGTTGGTCGAACAGCGCGTGCTGGCCGTTCCGGACGCGCATGCACCATTGCAGCTGAGCCGGACCGCAAGATCGTCAAGTCGGCCGTGAAGGCCGGCAAAGCACAAGGGGCCAAGATTGTCAGCCGCGTCGTTGACCCAGCCGTTGCGGACGAATGGGCCGCTAAGGCCAAGGGCTTGGAAGATGAGATTGAAGAGGTGTTACAGGAGGAGAAGTTGGAGAAGCAGATGGCACAGGCGGAAATGCAAGTGACCAAGGGGGAGAATATGATCAAGCACGAAGCCGAGATTATGTCGCGGCCGAAACGCACATGGTTCGAGACTGAGCGTGACAAGCGTGCGGCGCGCAAATTGGGTGCTACCGAGCTCAACGGACCATCTAAGAAGGATAAAGTAAAGCTGAGCAACAAGGATAAGAAACGGCTTGACGATGCGCGCCAGCGTCACGAGGGGAATATCGGTTGGAAGAAGGGCAAGGCTGACCGAGAGGCTCCCAAGCAGGGTAAGAACAAGGGGAGCAAGAACAAAAGTGACAAGAAGAATAACATCAAGATGAAGGGGAAGAAATGAGGAGGGGGCTACATCAACTGTGTATAGAATTGCATTAGAACCTAATGTAGGTTGCAAATATCTCTTCAAGACCTTTGGTTTAGTGACCTTTGGTACATCATAGAGCGGCCCTATATATCCTCTCACCTACACCTACCCTCTCGCAAGATGACTATTCCAGACCTCTATCTTACGGCATGACTGTTTCAACCAATCGTTCCACTTCCAGTCGACGGCTACTTGCGGTTAACCACGGTGGAGTATGGCCTCTTGGCCTGAGGCCCATGTAATTGTCTCCGATCGTCGGCCCCCGCATTGAGTAGAACATCTGTCCAGCTTACTGCACCGACAAGCAACAGGAAAGACAGAATAGCTAGAAGAGAATCAAAACATTCAATCCGCGTCAGGAGTTCAGAACCCTGAGCTCTCAACACTTGCCGAACACATCTGCGACAATTCATATGCCAATATCAGTGGCCTCTGGACATTTTATATACCTCGATTATCCACTTTGCGAGGCACACTCGAGTCTTTGACCAATAAGAGCCACCAATTAGGAATCCCCGCGGCCGCTGTCGGCGGATCGACGAAAAAATATGTGAAAAGCGGCGAGAGAGCGTCATGACCTATTATTATTGAATGATGGAGATATACTGACTCACTCCTCCTCGAACTCTCTCGTCCACATTTCTTTCTCTACTTAAATTCGTTCACTGATCATAAATCTTTCGTTCAGTGTCATTCGGGCACATTTTATCAATTAATTGTCTGGTCCACCCTTTCCTCTTTCTGGACACTATCCTCAAGTGACTTTCTCTACCTTCCCCCACCTCAACTGCGGACACCGCACGATACCGCCATCATGCCTATGTATGTCTTCTGCCCCTGGATCTCTGTTGTTCTACTCCAACCCCTCAAATGACGATTCGTATTTAAGCTTCTTTTATTGACTCATTTTGATAGGCTTAAAGATCCCTCAAAAAAATACAAGCCCTTCAAGCCTCTGCATCTCCCTAACCGCCAATGGCCCGATAAGGTTATCGACAAGCCGCCCCGCTGGCTGGCTACTGATCTGAGAGATGGCAACCAGAGTCTGCCTGATCCGATGGTGAGGACCTCGTTCAATTCTCTGGACGCCTCTGACGTATAGATGTATATAGGATGGTGACCAGAAGTTCCGGTTTTTCAAGATGCTCGTCGACATCGGTTACAAGGAAATCGAAGTATCATTCCCCTCGGCATCGCAAACGGACTTCGACTTCACTCGACGCCTGGTAGAGACACCTGGCGTCGTTCCCGACGATGTCTGGCTCCAGGTCCTGTCACCTTGCAGAGAAGAACTCATCCGTCGCACTGTCGATTCCCTCAAAGGCGCAAAGAAGGCTATCCTCCACATCTACCTGGCTACCAGCCCGTGTTTCCGCCGAATAGTTTTCGGAACCACCCGCGAACAGAGTCTTGAGATTGCCGTAAGATGCACCAAGTACGCCCGCTCGATAACCAAGGACGATCCAGAGATGGCTGGTACCCAGTGGCAGTTCGAGTTCTCTCCCGAAACCTTCTCCGATACCGAGCCTGAGTTCGCAGTCCAGATTTGCGAGGCCGTCAAGGCTGCTTGGGGCCCTACCGAAGAAAGCCCCATAATATTCAATCTGCCAGCAACAGTGGAGATGGCAACGCCAAACGTGTTCGCAGACCAGGTCGAGTATTTCTGCCGCAACATGACGGAGAGAGAGAAGTTTGTCGTCTCTGTCCATCCCCACAACGACCGTGGCTGTGCTGTTGCCGCCGCCGAGCTGGCTCAGATGGCTGGTGCTCAGCGTGTCGAAGGTACCCTTTTCGGAAATGGTGAGAGAACT